GGTAGTGATTTGCATCACTCAAAATTAGCGGGACATAATCTGTTTAAAGTCTCTACGATTTCCTTTCGATTGCCTCAGGACGTTTCAGAGTTACCGAAATTGCCGCTTTTATAAAGCTACGATGAGTGAAGATTTCGTAACGCCGTTTAGAAATCCTTTTTAAATCAGTGACATCGAAACTGTTTACTCACACTTCCAGCTGGGCAGTAGTTTTACTAACTGTGGTAGGTTCAACTGCACGTATTGGAAAGCTGTTGCATTTTTAGCACAGATCTAAAAATTTATGGTTTTCGCAGAACACAGATCGTAGCGTCATTTACAGATCGTAGCGTCATTTGTGTTGCACTGTCTGGAAAGGTCTATTGGGCGAGAAGTTCGGAAATGGTAATAACAGATTTGCATGATTTGCTGGATGAAAAAATATCGGGCGAAGAAACTTTGGAAATTGTTGCATCGGATTGCGCGAGACGGCGTGAAAGCAATGACATCGCTTTTCTGGTGACCTGGTTTGTGCGGTTAACTTTCTGTTAGGGCTCGCTTTTGTGAAGTGTGAATTGACTGGCAATTTTTTTCAACAGTTTCCAGCTGGATATTGTTCGATGAACACTGGGAGCCGAAGCGCCATTTCGCTGCGTTGTTTAAGGCTACCTCCGAACCTGGATTTGTCCTGAGTGAGTTAAAGTAGTTTATTTGACGTTTTTCAAGCTTACGGCAAATTTCACATCATCAGCACAGTGCTTCGTAAGACTTGTTGTAAGTGGCATGTAGTGCTGCGAACAAGCAACATTACATTTCACATATACTGCCGCACACGTACACACATATCTGACCTTTCACAACCCATTCCAGTTTAAGTGGAATAAACAGTCTGAGAGGTACCCGCCAGTCTGGTTGCCTAGTTGAAATACCCGGACAGACGCACACACATACGTACACCACGGGTCGTTTCATTTTGTGCTTTTGCGTTTGCATAAATGCGCAAAAACGCATTAAAAAGTACATGGTTTGAAGAAATCAGGTATGCAGTTTGTATAAAATTGCCTCTTACAAGAATCTTTGTGCTAGGGCTATATTGCTGTTCGCCATGCATTTATTTATTTGCAGCCGCGGTACTGATTTGAAGTAGTTTTTGACTGGCGGGTTATCACAAACCGACTGTCGTTTAGTCGTTTTGCGCATTTTTGCCTCCAAAATCTTTCATATGGTGGGAAGACAGTCATGTGGTTCCGTTCCGAGCATCTTAAATACCCGACACATTAAAAATACTAGTCGGCCAACTCTTGAAGGAGCTCAGATGGGCTCCTCCAGTGGAGTTGAAGAAACACATGATCAGTGGAGGGAATGCGGCACAGCTAGCCGTTTTGCAAGAGGAACCGAACGCCCGGACTAGCTTTGCTCAAGGCATTTATGAAGAGACTGAGTTGCGTATCGCCATGTTGGTGACAGCGATCAGGAGTTGACTGGCCAGATGATCAGCATCAAGCAAAATAGATCACTTTTAGTAATTGAGTGTGATTTTTTAACTCGTTGATTCTGGGCTTTGCTTGCAGGCTATAAACTAGAGCTGGACAGTGTGCCTTCATATACTCGAGTAACGGGCGAAACAGCAGTTGCAGACAATCGGCATTGCTGGCTTATTTTCACCACATCAAGAGCTGCTCAGCTTCTCGCTATTCATGTATCGGATTTTTTTTTTTTCTATTTTCTAATAGCATTGTTCTAAAATCCCGGAGGAGTTTTACTCGTTACTTTCAGCCCACATCACTTGAGGTTGAAGATATTGAATCAGTTGGCGACATTTTTCCTGGGCTCGATCTGGGAGACTTGCCTGGTTCTGCTGTCAGGTCACGTACAGCTTTTGCTTTGCCGAAAATACTTCATGAATTCTATATTATTAAATATTCTTGTAACAGTTTTGAGAATCTTGACCATATTTCAGATCGCATTGTCTTAAGACATCGATTTATCGATGGTCTGTACTTGGTTTTGATACAGGATACGTAATTGCGACAACGTTATCGTTGAAAACAAACTTTATCGAAGACAGGTATTTTTTTAGTTCCTTCATTTTGTCAGTCATTTAGATTTCATTGGCCCATTTCCTACATATTTTCAATGTTTTTTTTCGACATGCCTGTTCAGTGTGTGTGCCTGAAGCATATCTCGGACCGTGTAGAGTTTTTAGTTTTCAGGAGCAAATTGAAATTCTCGGGCGCTGTGTCGGTTTTGCAAATTCTGCAACATGTTGGTCGTGAAGACAAGATCTCTGTTTTGATATCGTCAACACTCGGTCCAGCTGCCGTATGGACACTGTCATTATCTGCTGATAAAAGCCACTTTGAGTGGACGAGAAGACGCATTTTGGAAAACACCAGAGGTCGTGATGCTGTCGTTTGCTGCGCTGCTGGCCAGCATCTCATTGCTATTGGCACTTATTCAGGGGTATACTTGCTTTTCCTTTGATCCATTTTGATATATCTTCACGGCATCGATATATCTGACAAACTTTTCATGGTTGCAAGTCGTCTCACCTCAGGCTACTACTGCTGCAGTTGTTCATCGTCCTCCTCCTCCTCGTCATCTTATTGCCCTTTTAATTTTTAACTTCACGTTTTGGAGAAAAATACATTGCTTTATCACGTTTCCATTGCCTCTAAGGTCTTTCTCACTAAGCATCCTGAGATACCTCTTCGCGGTGCTGCTGCAGTAAATGAAACGAAGTAAAAAAAAAAAAATAACGGAGCCACAAATCTGAAAACGGACCCGTCGAAATTATAATGATGCAAAGTGTTATTTTGCCATCGGCTAGATTACAGGTAGAAATGCGCCCCGCGGATTGCTGTCAGTTGGCGCAACTCCTTTAACACTTCTTTGCCTTCAGCAGCTAGGATGACTGCTGTTGTTAGGTTGCAGACATGCGAAACGAGACTGCTTACTTGCTTCATCAAGTATTTTTGCAAGCACATGGTCTGAAGTGGCATGTGTTTTATTCAGTAAATAGGGCTAGTATTTTCACAGTAACTGTTGCTATATTTTCAGGGCGTTTTGGTTTACAGAAGAAGGGACCTGATTTCTGAGGGCAATCGTCCACCGCTGTGTTCAACATTCGAACTATCAATTCCAGTTATATCACTGCTATTCCTTAGAGATAACCTGTTAGCTGTTTTGACAACTGATGGCTTGTATACCGTCTTTGGTCGGTCACTGGCAAAATACATTGCTTCTGTTCAGCTTTGATGTTTTTTTCTAATTATTTTTAAAGCCAGCAGTTAACAAATTGCAGGTTTTCAGTGAGATCAATCGCTTGCTTGTAGTTCAGCAGTTGCGGTACTCCCCCAGCGCTACACGATCAGCATGAGGGATTTGCTTTTTACTAGATAGATTATTTGCAGCAAC